ATGCCGTCGAGTCGTAGACGACTCATAGCGACCCTATGAACAAACAGCCTGAGCACTGTTTGTACATAAGAGTTTCCGGAGGCAAGCCATTTCGGAAGTGGATGCCGCTCCTGCTTCCATAAAAAGGTCCTAGACGGGGATTAAATTTATAGCAGGCAACCTGTAGCATCCCTGGGAGGGTGACAGCAATTTGTCACAACTGACCAATGGCTTCTCACCAAGAATGAGTTCTGTCAATATGCCTGCCTACTTAGAATCACTTTATAATTGGGTATGGCCTAAACTTATCCAGGGGCGTATCATCCTCTAACACGGATGTTGCCGTTGTTAGGTGCGGTTGAATCGAGTACGACTCACAGGATAGATTTCGTCTTCTGAAGAGTCATCGTCCCTTGGCCTTAAGGGAATGTGAACTCGCTGGACACAAGGAAGCATGAAAGTCTTTCAGAGATCCCTGTCAAGTCCTGAAGAGTTCACAAACAACGGGGAGGATGGGCAGGTGTCCCTGTAAGTAAGAATCCCTGCAATAACCCCTTCTCCCGCAGGGAAACAGGGTCATAATCCAGTTTTCTAATGGGAAATCCTGTAGGGCTTATCGTGCTAAGAAAGGAGACCTAGATTCCAGGAGGAAACTACAGAATGCCTGCTCTCAGCCTGAAAGCACCAGCCGCGCGGCCCTGTCCTAGATGTGCTCCGCGAAGGCGCGAAAGGACAGGGTCACCGGACAAGACAGACATCTAACTTCTTGTCGTTCGCTCCCGACCAGCATCAGCCCCCGCCCGGTCTTTCTGGTGCCCTAATGGGGGTGGGGGGTGTCTCAGACTCTACAGCGCCCCCCGCAGCCCTTCTGTGTTCCTCACCGTCTCCATTGCAAAGAGGAACCAGCTTGGCCCGCTCGTTTTTAGGAAGCTGGCTGGGTAGGTCCCGCCCCACACCGGGCTCTGGATACCACTTCCGCCCCTGACGTCATACGTCATAGGTGCTGAGCCCACCCTTCCGGCGTGGCCTCGCCTTGGGAACCTCCCTCCCCAGAATCCCTGGGCCTCAAGGAGCTGGCTGATGGCGAGGGTGATGGGACGGAGCCGCTTGTATTTAAAATGTTCTTTTTGTTTTTTGTTTTTATTTGTTGTTTAAAAACAAACTTGAAAGAAGCAAAATCCAAAACTTGCCCTTTGCCTCTTGCAACATAAATTATGTACATTTCAGAATGATCGCTGATACAAAACATGCCAAGGACAGGGGCACTGAGGGTGGAAGGAAAGGGCGCTTTAAAAAAGGGAATCATTTCATCCGTTGTTAAGGACAAACCTTGCTGTACAGGATACACACAACACAAAATAAAGTCTTCACGGGATTCACACTTGTCAGCGATTTATTTTTTAAAAAGGGGGAGGGTCCTGGAGGCAAGGGGAGAAGACTGTAAAGGGGAAAACTGAAAATTTAATATGTGCAAGTGTAAACCAACCCAAAATACAAACACGGGGGGAGGGAGAGGGATTCTGATGCAATTATACAGGCGGGGTACTTAAAAAAAAAAAAAATCAACAACCAAAATTCCAACCTTGTAGCTTGGGACTGAGTTATAGTTTATATAAAAATTAAAAACTGTATAAGGTTTCTTCACTAAATTCTACAGGACTATCGGATACCTAAGCATATGCTTACAAAGTCTGCCCCATTCCCTTTTCCCAGTCCCAAGGCTCAAGACCCAATCAGGGTCTGAATCAAAGGAGCCAATCTCCCCCTCCCTGTAGCTGAGACCTTTTGCTCTTGGAAAAGGAACATCCAATGGTTGTGGCTTTGGGGGCTGTAGCCCAGTTTCCTCACTGTCTGATTTAATTACAGTGGTTTCTGTGGGGTAGGGGAAGCAGGGGGGAGAGGTGGGTGGGTGGATGTTGTTATTCTCTTAAAACATTTGCAGCTTGAAACAGTTGAGGAAGCAGCTTAAAAAAACAAAACAAAACAAAAAACTCCATACCCCCATCAATCCACAACCCCCCTAAATTCAAAAACAAAACAAAAACAAACCTAAAATCACAACAGCGACCAACCGTGCTCTCCCTCCAGCAGGTCTGCCCATCCACTGCCACCAAGCCCACCCCTACACACTCCAGACATTTGATTCTTAAAAATAGTAATTACAAAATGCCCTTTGCCCACAGCCCCTAAGAGAGAACTGCATATAAGCTTCATCTTCATCCCCATGGTTCCCTACTAGAGAGGGATGTGGGGCCTTAACTACCTACTACCTACCCCTGCCACCAGGAAGAGGTTCAACTGCAGCACAAGCTTGGGCAGAAAGGGGAGGAAGAAGGGAGGCAAGGGACCCATCACCCTCTGGCTCCCCCTGGGGCCAGCTCACTTTTGTGCGTTATACCATAGTCCAACTATACAAGAGGGGGTGGGAATCGCCCAGCCTCTATATCCCCACCTTACAGCAGTCACAGCCAGGGGGGTGGGGAGAAGGGGTGAAGAAAGGGTGGTAGGTTGGGTAATGGAGGGGGCCCCCCCACAAGGGGAGCTCCATGTGTCCACCCCATACCCCCCTACCATTTATAAACTGGTTTTGTAAAAAGAAAATAGATATATTTATATAGAATATATAAAGCACAAAAATTAGTAGTTTTACATTTGCTCTCCCCGGGGGTGGGGGGAGAGGGGAGGGTTCTCACCTCCAGCCGGCTCCCCCATGCCCCACAAGACTATGTACAATCCCATGTATAAATAGATAAATACCCCCCACCCTCCCC